AAGCACAGTTGATACTAACATAAGTAAAAAGCGGCCTCCGTAGTCTAGAGGTAACGTTCCCACCTCATGACTCGTGGTACGCGGGTTCAAACCCGGCGGAGGTCGTGGAATTTTTAAGGGCGGAAAATTTCAGGGAACAAGTCCTCCGGGAGGGACTTTAAGCCGTGGGTCCCGTGTCGTAGCTTTACGCCACGTAAAAGAACCTCATATCTCCAAAGGAGGTCATTGAGCCAAATTAACGGAAATTTCCCGCCCAACAGTAGTCTCTAACTCCTCTGATAGATGTGGGAAGCATTATAGATACCGCCAAGCCAGTAGAGGCCAAACTCGCTGGCTCGGTCGGGACTGATGGTACGCACCAGTATCGGGAGGGGATAGAGACTGGTAGAATATCATAGAGGGAAGCACAATGGACCAATCAATACTGGTCTCAGTGCATGGGGAAACTCAGCCTCTCCAATAACTAACTAACTAACATAAGTAAAATGCGTTTTTTCTCTCACATCTTCTGTTCTTCTCTTTTGATTCTTATCTATTTTTATTTTTGTTTCATTGATTTAAACTGTAAATCCATGATGCAGGATCTGAAGTATCTCAAATTTGAATACAAACACAGAAGGACATAAAAATCATTCTTTTCAAAGAAAAGATGGAATATCTTTAGTTAAGAAACGTGGTGATGGTGACAGTTGAAGTTCGCGGAGACGTAAATGCATCGATCTTTACCTGACACGTATGGGCAGCTTTACTAATAAGGAATGTAAGAAAACAGAGTTGAATACGCAGAAAGTCAGCCACGAAGAAGATGTTACAAATCCGGTTTAAAAACCAAATAATTACTGCAATTAGTCAGCCAAGCGTTCTCATTAGAAAGTTGCTTCCCTGTCGATAAGATCAACTCGAGTTTTTTTCCCCACTTGAACCACTTTCTACGTTCTTAATATACCACAGTGCCCATCTAACTATTTTCTTCCGTTATTGATCACGTATAAGATATATATATATATTTTTTTTTCTGTGGCGCTACAGTCCCAATTTGGGCCTAGGCCTACC